TTTTTTAATCAAATGATTATATTTATTATCTTATTTATTTCAATAGAATTTTTAATCGAATGATTTTTTAATTTAATCGACAGAAAATTAATAATTATGATAAATCAAGTGATGATCAACATATTTTTTAAAAAACTTCATTATATCAAGCTCTATTTAAATATAATGGTACCAAGTAAAACTTCACTATATAGTTATATCAAGAGTTTATATTAAAAATCACTATATCGAGCTGAATTTATATATAATGAAATGGGAAATTTTCCATCTTCACTATATCGTACGATTCACTATACAGTAGGTTCACTATATCGAGCGCCGACTGTATTCTTGTAATAACAATTATACTAGAGACAATCAAATTACTTATTATTATAAATTAAAAGGTATTTATTTTTATTAATTTATTTATCAAATATTTAAACAATGGTTTATTGTTACACAAATACCAAAGTAATAACTTGACATTCATTGTTATGCAGCCATCAACATATTATTATTATCTTCATTACAATTAATGGTGTATTATTGTTTCTCATATGTAAAAAAATAATGTGAAAAAAAGAAAAATATTAATATATATGAATGAATGAATGAATTTATTCACAAATAAAAAAAATTCTTTTTACTCGATGAATAAAAATCCACCTTTAAACAATTTAATAATAATAGCACCTGGTGCCTGCCAATAACATGGTCATAGTCTGTCAAGTAAAAATTTCAATAATTATTGACTATAAGAATTAATAATTAAATTTGTTACAATCACGTTACTAGTTTGACTGTATATAGTATTGATCCAATACTTTCTTCCAGGGATTCATGAATTGAGATTAGTTAGCCTTTGACATTTCAATTTTTATTATCATCAAATCTATTAAATAAACTCATACAACACCTCTCTATCTGTAATTTTTGTATCTGGATTAATTCCATCAACTCCTTATATCAGTATTATTTATTGCTTGTAAAAAATCTTGATCATTTTTCACACCATAATAAAGCTTTGCTATGAAATGTTTTGTCTCTACAATTATTTATATTAATATTAGTATAAACCATATTTTGTTTATAATAAATGATAGTATAAAGACATACCTTAGAAAGCAAATGAATGCGATTCTGTAATATTTATAATAATAATATTTAGGCATTTTAATTTATCTTTGTATGCACTAACAAATTTCTATATATATGAATACAAAGTCAAAATTTGACTTTAAGGCTGAGATTATTTTCGGTTTTATTAACAACTTGCTTCAAAATTTTTTTTAAAGCAGATACATATGACAAAGAAGTTATATATCAAATTTGGTGGCAATTGCTACACAGCAAGGGTATCAAACGAGGGTATAAAGACATTCAATTCGAAATTTTTATTAATAAAAAATTGTGTAGATCACTGGAAATTTTTCGGAAAATAAACTTGCCCTTGATTTTTAGGACATGTCACATGACTAATATGCTTATTACTTATAAAATTAGGCTATCCAAAAAAGGCAAGAATCATCATTATCCATAATATCGAGAGAATTTTATTATAAGTGACATATGGGGGGTTTTCTAGCAAAATCGGGTTTTCACCACTTCTGACCAAAATTGAGTTTTTTACTTAATATCAACCAATAACATAAGGATTATAATTGGTGAAAATATTAGACCATATTTTTTTAGTAAAAGAATGTGTGATCGCGCAATGAAAAACCTTTTAAATTAATTTGCATAAAATCTAAAAATAGATTTGCAAACCCTATTTTTATTGTTACACCAAATTCGATAAAATAAATAAATACAATAATAATAATAATAATAGAAATTTAATTAGGGTTTGGACAAAGAATATCTCTATATGGAGCATCTACATGCTGACGAATTTTATCATATAAATATTTTTTGCGCACATCTGTTAAAGGTGCAGCTTCAAGAATATTCCTTTGTGAATTTTTATCAAATTCTGTATTCTTAAGGAGATTATAAGAATATTCTTCTCCACCAGATTTTTTTGAAAAATAGACAATTCCAATATCATTTTGTGAACTACTGAAGCGAAAATGATGATACTTTTTAATATTTGGTAAAGTTCTAAAGTAATCCTTTAACATTGAATCAAAGTCTTGCCATTTCCAACCTAATCCATTCTTATATCTAATAGATTTATTATATTCAGATGAGTTGTTTATAACCTCTTCAACATCATCAACAGTATTTATAAGACTGGATTTGTATAATTTTTTAATGGACCCAAATTTAGCATCACAAATGAATTTTGTGTGTCCAGGTATCATGAAATTTATATAAATATTCTCATACCATTCCATCATCACTAACCATGACCAAAACCAAAGAGATAAATTATTTTTATTCTGTCCAGAACAATTGTCACATGTAACATAAAGATCCTTTTTACCAGTATGATCAATCTTTTGGAGGAAATCATAAACCATATTCAAGGTAGTGTTAGCTCCTTTTTTTGATGTTCCTTCTGGTAACTCATCTTCTCCTATAGTATAATTTAATTGATTATTTTCATCATAATCT